TTAGTGTCTTTTGTGTTTTTTTATGTCTCTTTGTGTTTTTTTATGTCTCTTTGTGGCTGTCTAATGTCTCTTTGTGGCTGTTTTGTGAAACCTACATGATGCCTGTGTCGACACCGCCCTGTCCTTCCTCCCGTTTTAATTCCTCCCGGTTTAACCACCACAGAGCGACGCTGATGGCGAGATCGTAGTGAGCCTGTAAGGAGACACAGAGACCGATCACAGGGAGGATTCCCACCAGTCTCAGCTCTGGGAGTCCAGTCTTTACTAGGGATGGGGATCGAAACCCGGTTCTATCAAGGACCCGGTTCCACTTTTTTCAAAACCCGAAAATCAATAACGTTTGGGCTTATCGATACCACTATCGAGTCTGGTGGTTTTTTTTATTATTACAATAGTAATTGAGAAATCCGTGTTGTAATCGGCAGCATACGAGCTAGTTAGCTTGAAAAGTAAATAAAGATTCAGACGTGTGTTCAGATTGGCTCAGTAAAACGACAATTAGGTTGTCATGATGCGTTCAAGTGTAACGTAAAGAAAAGGGAAATTGACTTTTTGGCGAGAAACATGAGTAATACAGTTGTTTATTGCTCTAATTATTTTAGAATATATAATTAAACTACTGATGCCATCATTTATTAAAAATGACATTTAATTTAAAATACAATTATTTATTTGCTAAATATTGTCGCATCGTCTTTCCACTAAATAACAGAAAAGTATCGATAGTGGTATCGATAAAGACTCGGATCGATAAGGAGTATCGGTAAAGGTATTGTAGTGGCGATTGTTTGTCAAACCAAACATCCAATAAAAGTTCCTCAAGCCACTAAAAGGCACTGGGGTCCAATTTCTGTACGCAGGCAAAAGAAGATTTAACATTCAAACTTGTTGATTATTCAGGAAGGTTTATTTGTTCTTTCCAGCAACAATTACAGAGTTCAAACTTTCCTTTGTTCTCATTCTGTCAATCTTACTCTGTTCTCTTGCTCTGTTCTTTTGCTCTGTTCTTTTGCTCTGTTCTTTGCTCTGTTCTTTGCTCTGTTCTTTTGCTATTTTTCTTTGTTCTGTTCTCTTGCTCTGTTCTTTTGCTCTGTTCTTTTGCTATTTTTCTTTGCTCTGTTCTTTTGCTCTGTTCTTTTGCTCTGTTCTTTTGCTCTGTTCTTTTGCTCTGGTAAAAACCATAGGCCCCAAACCCAAATGCCTTGCTGGTCCTTTACCAGGCCCCTATACTTATAGAAAAGTGGACTGACCCACATGACTTCCTTCCTGTCTAACTCAAAGAATGAATAAGATAAATAATAAGACAAGAAATGAAATAGAATCAACAATTATTAACCTGCAAATAAATACTGTAAATAATACAAAAAATATACATTTAAGAATTAACTAACAAAATTCAAATGAATAAAGAAATAAAGGATAAATAGCTCCAACAGGTATCGATATCAATAAATATTAACGATCCCCATCCCTCTTTATCCCCAGTCTTTACCAGCTCGTCCAGGACGCTGGAGGCCCTCCCGGCGGGATCAAAGGACTTCTCCCGGAGCCTCTGCCCCACGTAGTCGGCTCTGATTGGACAGGAAGCACCGACGGTTAGAAGAGGCTACTTCCTGGTTATTATCACTGCGTTTCCAGCCTTAAAGTGCACTCACATGAGGGCCTCCACGTCTCTCTGCAGCCGCTTCGCCTCCATTTTCTAAACGAGTGAATCAGGAGAGAAACATTAAACAGCATTTGTTTGTGTTTTTTTTTTTAACTGACAGGCTTCAGAAAATTCAGCATCTTGCTGCTTTATTCATGAATCACTTGTTTCGCTGCATTTTCCACTTATTTTTGTTTGTTTTTCTACTTATTTTTGCTGCTTTCCCCCCCTTTTTTCATTGTTTTGTTGTTTCTTCCACTCATTTTTGGTCGTTTAGCTGCTAACCTC